ATAATTTATCGACTTCATTTATCATGTTTAAGGTTTGTATAATTTCTCAAGTCTTTTCTGGTTAGATGGAGGATACAATATGAAGGATCTAAGATGTAGGATACAGGATGGAAAATCAAGATCATAAATCTCAGATTAACTTTAAAAAATGTGAGATCCTAAAAATTCAGTGGATTTAAAATTGCGTGATTATCTATTCAAGGTGATCGATGGTGGTTTGATTTAAAAAGGCGGATTCAAGATGATATTTCATATTTGGCGGATTAAAGTGGCGAAACCAAGATGGCCGAGACAAGATGGCGGATTGATTGCATGAGACTTGCGGGATTTATCTAATAGAAAAGAAATATAATTTCAGAGATTAGTTTCAAATTCAATCTTTTATTCCTGTGTGCAGATTCAAGTACGTGTGCAAAAATGCCGATACTACTCATAAGTTTGGCACATTGACTGCAAAAACAATCTTCTATGATGATCTGTGAAAGAATTGTGTGTTTAGTTTTTTGTTTGGTTTCAACAGTTAAAGAAACAATAAAAATTTGTTTGAAAAGTGTGTTTTTAGATCAATTTTTCGTGTTAAACACCAAAAGTGTGTTTTAGATCAATTTTTAGTGTTAAACACCAAAAGTGTGTTTTAGATCAACTTTTAGTGTTAAACACCAAAAGTGTGTTTTAGATCAATTTTTTGTGTTAAACGCCAAAAGAATAGCTTAACTTTTTTTGACTAATCCCAAAAAAATATTTTCAATTTCTACTTCAAAAAATTGAGAACATTTCCATTAAGATGAATGGATTAGTAAAAGCTAGGAAGGGTGGATACCCCAAGTTCAGACTCTTTTTAAGGATCTAGATTAGGATATAAAAATCAGCCATCATTTATATATGGCATAGCTATCTACCTTTCTAGCTATTCATCTATCTAGCTATCCACCCATCTAGCTATCCATATATATAGCTATTCATCTATCTAGCTATACATCTATCTAGCTATCCACCTATCTAGCTATGTATCTTTCTAGCTATCCATCTATTTAGCTATCCATCTATCTAGCTATCCATCTATCTAGCTATCCATCTATCTAGCTATCCATCTATCTTGCTAATTCATCTATCTAGCTATCCATCTATCTAGCTATCCATCTATCTAGCTATCCATCTATCTAGCTATCCATCTATCTTGCTAATCCATCTATCTAGCTATCCATCTATCTAGCTATCCATCTATCTTGCTA